TTATCAATCTTCCTTAATACAGTTCCTCATGTTGTGGAGATCCCAAACCATAAAATTATTCCATTGTTACTTGAAAGTGTAATTGTTATAAATTGTACTATAAATATCTGATTTGCAACTTATCTGTTATGTGATCCCCAAGGGTATAGAGACCCACAGGTTGAAAACCACTGGTTTAAAATAATGTAGAGAATGAGTAAATGCCAACTTATGAGGAAAGAATGGGTTGAGTCCAATGGTAACACAGGAAAAAAGAACTATCCATTGGCCTTGGGTATCCCAGAAGGCTTTGCTGAAGGAGGATGAGATGTGATTTTATATATAACCTTGAAAGACGAGGCATTCCCCTTAAGATTGATGGGGGAAAGAAGGCTTCATGTTAGAGGAACCAGCCCCAGCAAAGATATATGAGAGGGATATATAGGCCAAGTGATAAAAGATGCCTCTTTGAGACCAGGCCACTCATCCGAGGTGTAGATATAGAGGGATTGAAACATATTGAGTCTAAATGAATAGAAGGAAAAAGATTCTGATGTTGGCAGGATAATTAATAGGCTCCTCTGCATTCATTTGGATTCATTCTCATGTACAGATAAAATGTGATTGTCTCCATAACGCACTTCCAAAAGCTTCTAGGAAAATCTAGGGCCCAGGTTCACTGGCCTTTCCACTTCAGCTGTGTTTGGCAGCCCAGGAGCAGGGGACCAGCCAGCCTTTGCATCATTCATGGGTTAAGCACCTGAAGCACCTCCTGGCACAGAGTACAGAACCACTCAACCAGCTGTCACGGGAATAGGCCCCTCCTCTCCTGGCCAGGTAGCTGGATTGCCAGGCTGTACCCTGCTTTCCACTTCTCCCCACAAGCAGAGGACAGGAAGTTCAGCAGATTCCTTGGAGGATGCTTTGGAAGGAGCAAGCCAACCTGAAAACCTGCTGCCTTGGGCTCCATGAGCATGTTGAATGGAGCTGCAGCAGAGAGACCCCAGACTTCCATGGTTGGTCCATCCCCATTCAGGCCCTTCTCGATGCATCCTGTCCATTTCCTGCTCAGATCTGAGGATTTTCGGACCTGGGGGAAAGTCCCTAGGGACCAGCATTAGGAAGAAGGCAATCACACGAGATTGACGGGAGTGGAGAGCACAGAAGGAAAGGCTGTGTCTTGTCCAGAGCTCGAGAAGGGAGGGGGAGGGCGGTGGAGCCCTGGTTACTTTGCTGAAGGCTGCGGAGCTAGCACAGCCATAAGGCAACTGGGAAGAGAGAGAGCTAGCTAGCGGGGACGACCAGGCGGCCCGCTTGGGGGAAGGGAGGCGGCGGCTCAGTGGGCCTCCGGGGTGTATGTGTCAGTGCCTGTGAGTGTGAGCGTGTGTGTTTGTGTGTTTGTGTGTGTGTGTGGGTCTGGCGGAGGGCCAGGGTGATTTCCCATAAACCACATGCCCCGCCAGCCCGCCCGCTTAAAAGGCTGTGCCGAGGGCTGGCCAGCGAAGCTCGGCCAGAGGAAAGTGAAAGTTTGCCTCAGTGCTCTCCTTGTCTCTGCGGCTTTCTGCATCCCGGGACAGCAGCGTGGCCCTCGGCCGGGGCGCAAGCTCTCCAACCAGCAGCGAGCGAGGGAGCCAGCGAACTAGAGCGGCCAACACGCCGGGCCGGGACCCAGCTGCCCGTATGACCGCGCGGGGCGCCGCGGGGCGCTGCCCTTCATCGGTAAGTTGCAACCACGGCGCGGGGCCCGGGCCGGGCTAGGGCGGGAGCTCTGCAGCAGCAGGCAGTTCGGCGCGGCCCCTCGAGCGGGGACAGCCCCTTCACGCCAGCAGCTCAGGCGTCCCTCGGCCCTGGGCTCCGACTTCCTAACCGCTTCTGCGCTAGGGCTGAGGCCCGCTGTAGTTCAGCAGTTGCTCTTGGGGCTACAGCTCTTTGCCGGGTAAGAGAAAGGCTGCTCACCCCATTGAACGGAGAAGAAAATTAAGCCACCCACAGGCAGGAGAGAGAGATTGGCAGCAATTGGCACAGTCCCAGTGTCTGCCAGGGTGATCAACCAGTCTCCAGGTCCCGAGTGACAGACCAGAGTGTGGCATCGACCCCAGTGGGCATCTTCCTTTGGCTGTTGCACATGTTTCTAGGCCTTTATTGGGAGTGGGCCTTCTGCGAAGGGAAAATTTAGGGTCACTCAACTTTAGAATGCCAGGACCTGTGCAAAGCAACCTGTTATCAGAAGAAAGAAAATGGTCATGCTGTTACTTGCTGCAGCCTATGGGCAGGAGCTGTTAGGGACTTGGATGGCTGTTTGAGGGGAATGGGACCCCAGGGACGGCCTGAAGCTAACCCAGAAGAATTTAATTCAACGAGATGGGGCTATTCTGACTGAGGAGAGTGGAATGAGAGTTCACAGATGCAGTGGTGGGCTGCTAGACCTTTCCCCGTAAGTGGCAGTAGATGATGCCCTGGCTCCCAGAGAACAGCAAGTGGGTTTGCTTCCGAGAAGAATGACAGGGAAGCCTAGAGGGCAAGAGCAGAACATTTGATGGGCAGGAGTGGGTTGCAGGTGTTTGTGAGATAAAAGTAGGTCCACTGGGAGGGAGGGCCCAGCTGAGAGGCAGGAGATGGGGTTTGGAGGGGAAGGAAAGATTATAACACAAACAAGTAAAAAGAAGGGCTAATGAGAAGGGAAACAAGGGAAAGAAGGCCAGAATTACACAAGATCAGCCAGAGGGCCCAGTCATGCCAGGTCTCTGCAGAGACCTTACTGATCGGGAAACGGAACGTGATGTCTTGAAGCATTCTGAGACTGCAGCAGTTTCCTTCCAGGGCTGCTCCCATAGTCAGAGGCTGAAGCAGTGGGTGGGGGGAAGAAGCAAGCCAGGAAGAGCCTGTCCAGCCAGATATAAGCTAGAGTATTAACCCTTGGGTGCCCATCCGTATCCTTGTCTATGGTAGCACTAGGGTTACAGATCTAGGAGTGGCCCCCTTTGGTCATCTTTGAAGTTAGTCTCTCATCTGGTAGCTGTGCATTATTCCTGTGCACGACTGAAATGCCACCAAAAGCCAAGTATCTCTGAGGTAATATCTTCACCTTGCTATCATCAAACATCAATGCCTTGAGGTGCCAGGATTGAGGTCTTCCTGAACATCTCCATGCCCAGGACCTTTTCTCCATACTGTATACACCATGAGCTGCCAGCCTGAGTGACAACCAGCTTAGACTAGTTACCTTCTGAGCAGTAGTTTCCTTTCCAGGTCCTAAGTGTGAGGGTCTGAAGATCTGGGATGCTGCTATTCAGGGCTAACTTTCCAGTTGCCCAACAGTGCCCAACACAGTATCATCCCTTGGCTGCTGCACCTTCTTCCACACTCTCCCTCTGAGGTCAGGACAGGGCTCTAACCAACCCCATGGTTAATGGCACCAGACAATCCTGTGCTTCTTCTCTCAAACCCCATCTCTGTCTGCCACTCTTTAAGGCCTCACTGAAATCCCTCTTCCCTCATCACTAGCCAGCCAATGCTGCCTTTTCTCCCTGGTACACACTGGCAAGGCTTTGGGCTTTTAGATGTAAACCAGTGTTGTTGTGGACTGTTTCATAGCCTCCCTGTGCTTTTTCAATGTGCTCCTATTTTCAGGATCTGTCTCATCATCTGCACTATTGGGGCAGAGCCCAGATCTAGGAAGGTGCCAGCCATCACTCCACCCTGCCAGCATTTCCCTGAATTGGGGACATCAGCTGCCAGGATGCTCAGGAGCTCCTAGGAGGCAGCTTCCCACCAGGGGAAGGAAGCCCAAGAGCCCCCCTGCCTCAGGCTGGCATCCCCTGAGATGCTCTGTTGGAGCTGTAGGGATGAAAGGATCTTGGGGAGGAGGAAGGGAGAAGGGAGAAAGGAGGAAGGAAGGACCAAGTCAAGTGTCAGGAGCCTGACCTGTTACTCTCGGGATGACTAGATGAACCACCTGATGGGTCTCAGATAGGCAAATATCAGTAGTGGAACACAGCATTGTCTTTGATTAGTCAGTTGCAATGCAAGTCTGAGGCTCCAGGAGGTCTTCTACTTGGGTTGAGTTCCCAGTGAAATGGAGCTTGATCCCACTGTTTCCCCCTGTTAAGCCAGACCTGTGGAACCAGATGGGAAGGGAGGTAGGACCCAGGATCAATGTTTCTGGCTTGCAATCTGAAAGCTAGTGTCTGATCACAAACTTGAAGCCAGCTTACAAGGAATTTGTCTCAGCATTAAAGTTGAAAGGACAGAAAAGTGTACCCGGAGGAGTTTCTTGGTCACCATAATGTATACAGATCAACATACCACTAGTATTATCATTAGAAGTTCTCTGTAGACTAGGGAGATAGCTCAGCATTTAAGAATATTTGTTGTTCTTGCAGTGGATCCAGGTTCCATTCCCAGCACCCACATGGTGGTTCACAACTATCCATTCTCCAGTTCTTGGGGATTCCAAGAGGCATGCATATGGTAGGCATATGTGCATGCAGGCAAAACATTCATAAACACAGAGCAAAACTAAATAATCCTTTTAAAAGTATTTTTTAAGTTCCGTGAGCTGGACAGTGGTGGCACACGCTTTTAATCCCAACAGAGGCAGAGGCAGATGGGTCTCTGTGAGTGAGGCCAGCCTAGTCTACAGATGAGTTCCAGGACAGCCAAAGCTACACAAAGAGACCCTGTTTCAACCCACCCCCCAAAATTCTGTGTTGTTGGTCTGGCCTGGATTAACCTGAGAAGACTTCCTGGAGAAGATGGCACTTGGTTTATTATCAAGGGAAGAGCAAGGTGGTACCTTGCCTGATGAAAAATCTAATTTGGAGAGTGCTGCATCCTGAGTTGTGAGGCATTATGGGAATGGGGCTTTGTTTTCTGTCCTTGGTGGGACATGGAGGTAGCTGGGTGAGAGGAAGCACTGGAGAGACATGACTCCCTTCTGTCATAGACATGGCTGGGCCCCCGGCTGCTGCTGGTCTGTCTCCTGGTGAGCAGGAGCATTGCCAAGGAGGTGTCGGAACACTGTAGCCACATGATTGGAAATGGACACCTGCAGGTCCTGCAGCAGCTGGTGAGTATGAGACCATTCCTTCTCCTCATCGAGGAAGCTGAGGTAACAGACAGAAGGCAGAGTCAAAGAGATTGCAGGAAATAGTGCTATCTGGATCATGGCTATCCTGATACTTCTGTCGTTGATCTTCTCAAGATGGGGACTTTAGGTTCCTCCCCAACCCTGAAGCTTTGTCTGGGTCCCCTATCACACAGTGGGAATTGATTGCCTGAATTAATGGTAGCCCAGGAATGTCCACTATGGATTCTAAAAGGCTCCTTGTCCCTGCTCTGACCCAGAGAATGCCTCCTTTGGGAAGTCAGCCTGCTGGGTCCAGATAGTTTATCCAGCTTCTGGACAGCCAGATCCCCTGACAGCCTGGCACCAGAGCCCCACCCAAATTTAATGGGAGGCTCCAGCTTAACTATTAACCTTTTACCTTCACATCCCTGACCCTTGCCCTTGAGGTTGTGGTGCCCTGCTCGTCTAGGCCATGAAGGAACCCAGATCTTATTCTAATAGGGCCAACAGAATCATCAGCAATTCTAAATGTAATCCAGCCAGTCAGGGTCCAGTTGTTGTCATGACTTCTGCCTCTCTCAGTAAAGAATTTATCAACAGTATGGGACACCAATGGGTAAGGCCCTGAACTTGGGCCCTGGAGCTGAATCTCCCAACATCCCTCCTCAACACCACTCTTCTTTATATGCAGCTTCCATGGCATGCCAAGGTACATGAGAGGCTGGCACTAGAGACCCAGACTTCCTAGAGCCTGACTAACCTCTGCTTCTTTTCATGATAGGCTGATAACCATCTCCCCAAAAAGATTACATCCTATATTTTTCTAAAGATAATTCTTCCTTATAGTAGACTGGGTGTGTGATTTCATTGATCAAAGTAGAAGTGCTTTTTATTTGTTTGTTTATTTGTTTTGTTTTAATCCCTCCTGGCATTTGGAAGACACAGCTTTCCCCTAGCTAGGACTCTGTCATTCCAACCCCCAAACCAGGGTCCCATTCTGAATTTGAGTCGACCTACAGATACCTTGTGCTCATTGATCTGTTCTGTCTCACAGATTGACAGTCAAATGGAAACCTCATGCCAGATTGACTTTGAATTTGTAGACGAGGAACAGCTGGTAAGTAGCAAGTGTTTGCAAGAGCCAGGTGCTTAGTGGATACTCACTGCATGAAGGCAGCAGAAAACCTAGAGCAGGACACGATGAGAATGAGGGACCCTCAAGTGTCAAGTAGCAGTGGGCAGGGTCCAGAGTTTAAGTCTCTGTTGTCTCCTTCCTTTGACCTAGCATGTATCAGGCACTTGCTAAACGTTAGGCACAGTCCCTGGTTAATTCTAATAGTAACACTCTGAGGTCCACAAATCTTTCTTATCACCTACAGAGAGATTAAAGAGCATAGCTAGTTAAGTGATAGAGGCAATGTTATACCATTTTTTGTTTGTTTTTTTTTTAAAGAAGATCTCATCTCTTCCATCCACTAGCCAGAGACAGGAAGGCAGTATAACCTGGCTTTATACCCCACCTAGTGCAGCTAAAACTGACTCCCTGCACCTTAGGGTGCTGTCCCTCCATCCTTCCCATCCATCCTTCAGGGGCTTTCTGGGCATTCTTCACTTTACCACCAGGGGGAGCTCTCTGAAACCCCAAAGGCTTCACTTCTTTCTCCTTACCTGTCAGGGATCCAGTGGCTCCAAGAGAAAGCCAGTCTAGTTCCAAGTCTCCAGTACCTACCCCACCATATTCTCATTTCCGTCCTCTGTTTTATTCTGCCTCCCAGCTTTTACATCAGTTCTTTGTGATGTCTGTCCTACTTTTCCATGTCCCCCACTATCCCTTGTGCCACACCCCTTCCAGTTGATCAAGAAGAACAACCAGTCTGTCCAGAATTGCTTCCATCTCTGAGCTCTCATGCACTAGACCCATGCACTTCTGTGGAAATGCCATGGCCTGCATAGTCACGGGGTTTCATTCATTCATTCTGTTACTCCTTCACTTGAACCATGACCCCTATTTACTGGATCAGGCACTAGAGAGACAGAGCTACAAGTAGCTTCTGTCTTTGAACCAACTAGTGTATCCTTGGAAAAAAATATATTCTGGAGGGTCTGAAGGCTATCTGGTGAAGGACTTCTGTGAAAGTAAGCTGACAGGAAAATAGAAGAAAAGCTGAAAAGAGAGAGGCTGAAACTCACCCTTCCCGTGTGTCCATCCTGACCAAAGCCCTCTCTAATCAGAATCATCCTTCCCTTCACTCTAGCCCAAGTCTCAGTCATGGTTGATTTAAAGAAAGAGAATAAAAGGCAAGCCAGGGGTACCACTGTCCTCACCATCAGGGTGGTGTGTCCCCTCCTCACAGGCACAGGATGGCAGGCTGCAGCCCTCCATCTGCCTAGAGTTCCCAGGCCCTAAGCTCCATTTCCTGTTTCCAGGATGATCCCGTTTGCTACCTTAAGAAGGCATTTTTCCTGGTGAAAGACATAATAGAGGACAAAATGCGCTTTAAAGGCAACACCCCCAATGCCAACGCCACCGAGCGGCTCCAGGAACTCTCTCTGAGACTGAAGAGTTGCTTCACTGATGATTACGAAGAACAGGACAAGGTAGGGTGGTTCTGGGGCTAGAGTACCAGGGAGGGGCAGAGGGAGGCTGTGGAGGTCCACCGGACCCCCATATGCTTCCTTGCCTGAGCCTCACTCCCTCACCCACCATCCATTCAGTTCTTCACTCCATCCACCTGCACCAAGCACTCATTTGACAGAAGGCACAGTGCTGGACCTGATGATAGCCTTGGAGCAAGAAATGCCTGGTCCCCACCTTACAGAGCTTATAGTCAAGTGAGGTGGGCAGTTGCTAAATGATGGCATCTGTGATAACCAGAAGGACTGTGCATCTGTTTAGCAAAACCTTATTGAGTGACCACTGAGTATCAAGTGCTGTTCTGGACAGCAGAAAATAGCTGTGGTCTAAGAAAGCAAAATCCCTGTGATCATGAAGACACAGGGGACAGGAGGGGAGGGGAAGGGTGTTAGACAATTAAAACAAGTGTGAGGATGGATGATGGTGGTACTGGAGAAGAGTAGAGCGGGATGGGGGTGGGGGGCTGAGAAGCAGCGCAATAGGGAATGCTAACATAATGAGGACACAGGGAAGTGAGAAAGGCAGGTCCTTAGTAAGAAAACTTTAATTGGAACTCCAACACAAGTAAGAGCAGTGAGAGCCATGGATGGAAGAACATTACAGACTGAGGAGCCAAATGCTCAAGCCCTAGGGTGACCAGAAAGGTTCGCATTCCGGGGACACAAAGGGGCTCAGCATGACCCGGGCATGGGAGGTAAAGGGGAGGGAGGAAAGTCAGGAAGCATGTCATTCAGGGTGTCCAAGATGTGGGCTTCTGTCTTAAATCGGAAAGAAGCCACCATAAACTAGTGAGTGACACAATGTCACTTATGATGTAAGAGTGCTCTGGTGATGGACTGGAGAGCAGGTTCTGGAGACAAGAATGGAAATCAGTAGGCCAGCAAGAGGTTCAGCCAAGCTAGCGATGGTGGTGTTGACTCAGAGTGGGGCAGGAAATGAAAGGTGAGTGGATGTGATCCCCCCAGGCAGATAGGGCTTGGTGCTTCCTGGGGATAGGCAAGGAGACAGTCAAGATGTGTTCATCTTGAGCCCCTAGTCAAAATAAGGACAACCACAGACAGAGTAATTCAGTTTAGTGTGGGGCACATTGGACAGCTTCAGGAAGGGGTCATGACTGTGACTGCTGGAGCCACAGAACTGTACAACTGAGAAGAGGTCCAGGACCCTGAATGAAGACTAGCCTGAAGTAGGAGGGAAACAGAGAGGGCAGTGCCTCAGGTTTCCAGATGGAAGGAGCCAGCACTTCATCAAATGGGGCTGAGAAGCCAAATACGATGAGGTATGAAAAGTGTCCATTGGTCCATTTGATTTGGCAACATGGAGATTGCTGTTGGAGGCAGATCAGGAAGAAAAGAGAAGAAACAGAGACCACATGATGGAAGAATTTGCCCCAAAAGGGAACAGAAAATCAGGTTATCTGGACTGGCTGTTTGGTTGAGGAAAGGATGGTTCTTTACTACGTAGTGGTAAATCTATTCTTTCCCAAAAGTAAAGTGCCAGCGAATCACCTAGAGAACTTGTTTCAAATGCAGAGTCCCAGCATATACCCTTAAGAGACTCTGCTTCCCTGGGCCCACCAGCCTATGAACCTGCATTTTGAGAAGCTGCCCCACCATTGTTTGAGATAGAAGGTTCTCAGACTCCCTTGGGTCAGTGACTGTTCACCCAGTGCATGCTGAGGGGTGACTCAGGGAGAAGGCAGAGTGTAAACACAAGGAGCATAATCCAGCCTCGCTGCTCAGAAAAGATTCCCCACTCCTGCCGGGCATCTCCATTTTGAGAAAGCTTGGATGTCAGGGTTCCAGGTGAGGATTCCTGCTTCTTTTACAGAACATAAGATCAGGTTTGAGGCAAAGAGCTTTAAAAAGACACATGTCAGACAGAGCCAGCTGGCCTGCCTTAGCAGCTACTGGGAGAGGCTTGGGTATTGTTGTCCTGGCATTACAGACAAGACGATGAACCCAAAGAAGGCAGTTCCTAGCTGCTGAGTGATGAAGCTGAGCCCAGGTCTTTTCATTCATTTGTCTATTAACTGTTTATTACAAGCCAGCTATGGGCAGGCTGGGAAGGCACAGTGATCTAATCAAGGACTTTGTAGTAGCCGTGGAAAACCTATTGTTCTTCCCTGAATAGCTTGTAAATTTTATGGGAAAACTTGGCCTTCTGGAAATAGGTTGTAGATTACACTGCACTCACATATAGCACAGCTTGCTGTGAAAGGTGAAGTGAGCCCAGCAGAACCCTGAGGCACTGCAGTATTTAGAAGGGACAGTCTGGCTCAGCAGGCAGACCAAGGCATCCTTGGCACTTCCTCCAAAACATGGCATCAGCCAAGGTGCTCATCTCCTCTGGCCTCTCCAGGTCTGTTCTCTATACCATGCCAAGATGATTTTTCTAAAATTCAAGTCTTTTACCACAGTCCACCTCCTGAGCAGTTTTTCAGTTCCCTATTGGCTCTATGGATAAAATTACAAGTTTTTGGCAGGGTCAACAAGTCCCTGGCCTTGGCAGTACTCTCTGCGGCTGTATCTCTTGCCAATTTCCTCCTAGATGGCAGTACTGAAGCACCCCAGCCTTCTTTCAATCTTTTGGTATTTCCTGCTTTCTGCCTCAGGACCCTTGCACCTTCTATCCTCCATAACCCCACCTCCTCTTCTTCCCTCGCTCATCTTTTAGCTGTCCCTTTGGTAACCTCCCTAGGCCCTCATTTAGCTCTCTTCTGTTATAGACCTTCAGGTGGTTCAGGACACTCTCTCGTAGCGATGTGTTCAGTGCTAGTGTCTGCGGACTAAGGAACCACTTCTCTTTTGTGCATTCTATGATGCCCATGGAAGAAAGCACACGAGAATTGGACAGAGGCAATAGTGACAGGAGGCCCATGTCTGTGATTACTAAAAGAGGCTTTGCTCTTCTTCCAGGCCTGTGTGCGAACTTTCAATGAGACTCCCCTCAAGCTTCTGGAGAAAATCAAGAATGTCTTTAATGAAACAAAACATCTCCTTGAAAAGGACTGGAATATTTTTAGCAAGAACTGCAACAAAAGCTTTGCTAAGTGCTCCAGTCAAGGTGAGTATAGAAGCTACAGGGAGGGTATGTGGATGGTGAGATAAAGGGCTAGGGAAATCCCAAAGGCAGCCTGGCTGCTGAGTGTGTTTCTGTGTTTTATGTACTCATGTGGCTTCATGTACCTCAGGGTCCTGGGCACATGTCTTTGCTGACATGTGTGTGCATGTGTACTGACTTGTGCCTGCATGTACTGTCTCACTGCCTTACTTGATGTGGCAGCAGCAAGAAGGCTCATGCTGGTGGCTGTTATGGTAGTGAGAGGGAAAGGGGACCTTTCTCAAAGAGCCATGTAGGCATGGTGGCTTCCCCCCTTGGCTCTGCAGACTGGCTGAATAAATGGGGATTCCGTGGACAGAGCAGGTGCTCCATCTGCAGTCAGGGTCCTTGCTCCAGGAGCCCTGCTGCAAAACACCAGGATACCCTGGCTCCAGAAGTCCCCAGGATGCCTTGGATGTCCCCTCAAGGGACAAGGCTGAATCTGAAG